TAATAGCGTAGATTTTCTTTTCCGCTTTTAATTTCCGCAACTATTAAAATGATAGATGTATGGATAATAGGATTGAATGGAAAGACAAATAACTTTAAAACGATAGATAACCCTAATTGTGCAAAAATAATTAACTGAAAAAACACACTTGCACATACTCACTCCTAGGGTTTGCCCCCACTTGGTTGCCTCGGAAAAACAATGGTCGTGTCCCTCGAATGTAGGGATATCTTAGCAAAGACCCGCGATTCAAAGTCATCATAAAGATCATAGTCTCTCCTTGTCCCTCGAGTTGCCTACGAGAAATGATCTTATGATGACAGTCCCTATGAAATGTTAAGGTATCCTTACTTGTTGCCTTCAGAGACCATTTCATCCCTTTCGAATGTCCCTTAAAATCCAACGACGGAGCTACCTACTCCTTAATCGTAGGATAGCGTTGTCTAGAGGAAAACGAACAGACTTTTTTCGAGTAGGTAGAAAATTCTTAAGGACTTGCTCAAAACAAAAAAAAACTTTTACACACAAACACTTTTCAAAAATAGTTTTTAAAACAACTTCGTCACACTCTTGAGGACAAATACAAGGGTTATCACGAAGTAAACAAAACTTTTTCAAAACAAGCACGCACAAGAAATTTTAAAAATGAGCAAGTACCTAAGAGCCCGTGGAAAACCACGGATAGAAAGGGTGATAACACCTTCCTTTTCTATAATCTACCCCCCGTACTCATAAACATCTCGAAAAAAGGATTTTTCTATTCTTTTTCCTTTTCCTTTGTTGGGTGAAATAAAAGTCGGTGGCGACTCTTGCTTACTGCAACATTTGCGAACAAAAAATGCAAACCAGTATTAACAGTCGGTTCTGCCACCGTATCACAGTGGTGGTAAGGCAATTTCTATGCAGTCTCGGGGTCTTGAGTTCAACCCATAATTACCCTTTTCTTAGTTTTTTTTTTGTTTATTTAGCCTTATTTAACTAAAATTCATAAAAAGAAAACATAATACAAAAAATATCAGATTAGGTTTATAATTATTTCTTTCTTTTCCTCATAAAAATTTCATAAATATATTAGTTTAATTTTGTCATTTTTTATTTTAATTAATTTTTGTTGTTAACTATTTAAATGATTTAAGTGCTATTTGTTTAAGTTCTTTCCGATTATTTGATTTTTGTATTTTTGTGTGTGCCTATTCCAAGGGAAATAATCAAATTTGTTGACTTCATATCATCAATGATTGTGCGAAACCCCTTCATACTTTTTTTTAGTTTTGTTAATTTTAAGTTAAATCTCCTAAAAAACTCAAATTTCAAACTTACACTCATTTAAGCCAAAACTTCAACACTAGGTCGTCGCATCTTCAAAATCTCATCCCCACACTCATTTAGCAAGTAAACCAATTTAAAAAAAAAAACATATATTTCAAAAGGTTCCTATAAAATACTATAGATACATAGGGGTGCTAGTACCTTCCCTTTGTATAACCAACCCCCTAACCTTCGATCTCCTGCAAATGCATTGTATTTTTCTTTACTTTTTAGTATTATTCATACTTTGCATATTTATGGGTTTTATTTGCACTTTTCCTTTTTCCCTTGGAAATAATAAAGTGTGGTGACGACTCTTGCTTTTGCGATTCAAGTTAATAAATAGCTTGATCTTTGACTTTCACCGCTACAGTGGGAACCAGCTTTGTCGGAGGGGTGGGCATCCTCTTCGATCTCTTTCACCTCGTGGGTGTTACGGCATGGTGCATCGTTCTTCTTGTACTGTCGGAGTCTCCCCGCCTTGATGAGGGTCTCAATAGCATTCTTCAGGTGAACACAGTCCTCGATAATATGGTCATGGCTCCGGCGGTACTGATAATATTCAGTCCTATCGAACCCAAGCTTGGAGGGTGTGGGCTTAGGTCGACGGACCCCTCAGTCCCTAAATTCAGCATTAGCCCACTCGGTGAGGATGCGCTCGCGGGAAACGTTCAAAGGATTGTACTCGGTAAAGCACCCGGCTGGTCCTCTATGCTCGTGAGGGTCGCGAGGCTTTTCATCCCTTCTTTTATCTCCGATTCGTCGGGATGATCCTGTATCGTTGTGTCTCGGGGAACTGGGTGCTTCGTGGTTCATGGAGTTGTAGACATTATTGGCTGCCTCTTTCTCCTCATCGTGATGTAAGCCCGGGCTTTGTGGAGGAAATGATTGAACGACCTCGGGGACTCGATGCCAACTGCCTTATGAAAATCGCTTCCCGTGAGAAGGCCTTTCTCGAGCAGATACCTCTTCATGCGGTCGGTGGTGGGGACCTGAATGGCCTCGTGGTTGAACCGGTTAATGTATGCCCTAAGAGATTCGTCGGTTCCATGGATGATTGCCTTGAGGGACGCCTCTGTCTTGGGGTGACACCGAGAAGCAGTAAAGTTGCTGGAAAACTGGATCTTCAAATTTCTCCAAGAAGTGATGGATTCGAGGGAAAGGCCCTTGTACTAGTCCATATCAGTTTTCCTCAAAGTTGTGGGGAATAACTTGCACTTGATGACACCCCCTATGTTATGGAATTAGAGCATCGCCTTGAAGGCGTCAACATGGTCGTCAGGATTCGTCGAGCCATCGCAACTGTTCAGAGGTGGAGGTTTCTCCATTCCCTTAGGGATAAGAGCCTCCATAATGGCTTGAGACAGCGGACCACAGGGGGTCATCTTCATCACTCTCCAGTTCAGGGGATCGAGATGGGGAGAGGTCGTAAGGGTGTCTTCTGTGGCGAGGAGGACTCCTCGACTGAGTTTTTTCTCTTCTTTTCCCTTGTCATTTTTAGGAGTTGGGGAACGCCGTCCTTTGTGTGGAAGGGTATGGTCGTGCTTCTTGACGAGTTCCTATTGGGTCCTTTCTAGTTGGGGGCGCCGCCTGATACGAAGCAGAGAAGGACTGCGGGAATCTCCCCGTTGGTGTCTCCGTGGAGGAGATCGCGAACGGGGCTCCTGACGTCGAGAAGATGAAGTGCGCGAGTCAGGCCTCCTGTATATTTTCGGGGACCTGCGGGTTTCTAGCATTGTAAGACGTTCACCCTGCGCAAAGAGCATGTAGTTAGTCTGATTGAGCGCTGCAATCAGGGCCTAGGTTGAGGGGTTAACATTAACGGGAATTGGGGTTTCCTGGTACACCGCGGGTTGCTCAACCTACTGGTGAGGGTTATCTAGTGGATGCGGTCGAGTGGAATAGGAAGCAGTTCTTCCATCTCTGAGGTCGTGCTCGTGGGAGCCCACGTTGTTGTTGTTACCGAGGTCGGCGAAGCAGGCGTTCTAGTCATCATTGTTTACTTGAACGACCATGATGATTGTGAGGTTGAAAGTTTGCTTTGATTTTCAGTTAGTAAAAGATGGGGAAGCAAGTTCCCACAGACGACGCCACTGATCGTACCTGATCAGAAGGGATCGTTGATGGCCCGCAAGTTGAAACTGGATGACTGTTGAAGTGAAGTGGGGGTACCTGCAAGAAACTTCAATGCCAAAGTGAGGTTTATAGTAAGTGCAAGTAATGAAATTGTAAAATGAATGAATATCTGACCCTCTCATGTGAGAGAGTATTTATAACCCCCAGTGATGGGTCAAGATCCACGTTTTGGACTAAGTAGTTAGGCCCAATAACGTAGACTGTCAGAGTTACGTGAGTAATGGAATCCAGCGCATGGCCTCCTTCCTAATCAACTGCTCCGAGATAATAGGAAAGTTAGACCCGTTATTCTTAGTGGGCAAGATGGTGGTCAAAGATGGTTGACAACGTTTCCCTGATGGGCACGTGGACAATCCTCCAACATTATTGACTTGAGCTAAATTCCATTAGACCATAATAGAAATACTGGATTAGACCTACTCAACGATGTGCCAAATATCAATCCAACCCAAAATAATATACATCTCAACTTTATATATTCCAAGAATAATATAAAAGAATAGTTCTTCCTTCAAATGAAGGGAAGAAAAGAATAGTTCTTAAAAATTTATATATTCCAAGAATAATATAAAAGAATAGTTCTTCCTTCAAATGAAGGGAAGAAAAGAATAGTTCTTAAAATACATTTTTATCCAAATTTAATAGAAAGACAATTTTAAATTTAATAGAAAGACAATTTTATTTCGTCAACATCAAAGTTTGAACATTGACGTATATGAATAAATTTATAGTGATTCTCACCACTTCATCTAGAAATTAAAAATAAAAAAAGTGAACATGTCTATTATATAAGAAAACAAAAGAGTTGTTTGCCAAAATTTAAAAGTGCTTATTTACATTATCAAGTTTTAGCGCTTTCTTTTTAGTAGCTGAAACATCATCATCATCATCATCATCATGGTGGCTTTTAATTATTGGAATATTTAAAGGAGAATCGGAAAAAATAAAATGCTATGATTAAGGATTAATGAAGTTTTTATCACAAACTTTATTTTTAATCTCATTAAAATTTTTTTTTAAAGAAGTGTAGTCCTAAAAATTTTAAATTTAACTTTTTAATCTCTACTACAATTTAACTAACAGTTTTTACAATTTAACAGCGATTTTAGCAACAGTTTTTATTTAGCGACGAAATTAAAGATCATTTTAACTACAATTTTGTCATGAGACCAAAAATTAAATTTTAAATTTTTAAGAGGATCATTCTTTGAAAAAAAATTTTAAGTGACTAAATAAAATTTGAGATATTTAAAAGGTCCAAAAAGTTCATTAACCCAATGATTAATAAGTTTCACTTCAAAACAAATCGCTTTCTTAAAGAAGTTGCTAATGAACCAAACCAACTAGAAAGATAAACTCAATTTTAGAAATGTTACAAGAGAAAAGAACTAAACTTTGGTGCAATCTTTTAGATTTAGCATGATACAACAAGATCCATAAGCCAATTAACATTAGCTATGAGAATCAAATCACCAAAATGGATAACTTTGAACATAGATACATGCACAGAACAAGGAAAGTTCCCTCCACTTAATTCCTCTGTTGGACAAATGGTATCACATTTTCAACCACTTTGGCTTAACAATCTTTTTCTCGGCCGGTTTCCGTTCTTCAACGGCAGGAGCTTGTGCAACAGCCTCAGCAGACGTCGGTTCAGACTGTAATTGCTCTGATGCCTCACCTTGTTCTATAGCACCTTTCAAAGACATCACTTCTTCTAGTAGGTAAGGGCCGTCATCGCTTCCATTACCTAAATATCCCACTAACATCAAGTTAATAACATCTAATATATTAACATCATAATCGTGAGAAAAAAAAACATAATTTTGTGATGAATGTTATTCACAATCAGTAACGGAGCGTGTGACACAAGAAACAACCTAGCAAATATGGCATGACAAAGGAATGACCAACAATAACGTCGGTCTAATTCCCCTAGGTAGACGCATGAACAGAAAACTCACCTTTTGAAACATCATATGAAAAGTACACGATGGCACCGGGACAAAACCCAACGGTATAGAAATCCTGAGAAAAGTCTTTGATCAGCTTCTTAGGCGGAGTAGTATCTACATTATAAAAAAGAACATGTGATTCATTTAAGTTCAGCCAGCGATCAAATCAACTTTCAAGACAATGAAATCTTCAAATACATATAAAAAGATGAGCAGCTATGAATTAGGCAGCATTTTGATTAACACCTTAATTAAGCTCTTATTAAACAAGTGTTAATCGTGAGGGTTTATGTCATCGATTCTTAAATTCAATAAGCCTATGTTTGGTAACACGGTGGGTCACCACTGCCGCACATCTTTTCACCGTGATTGAGAACCGGGTATCTGTAGCTTCTGTGCCGCCGTGATTTTCCACCATGATTTTCAAGTTTTCCAAACACACACGAAGTATTTTGTGTTTGGATTTGCACGGTGAAAAGCTCTTTGCTTTCTCAAGTTTAGTTTTCGCGGTAAATATAGCACTTAGGGTGGATGGGAATCATAGAGGATAGAAGTCAGCTCTACATAAGGTATTTCCATAAGCTATGTTAGAATTCTTATCGAAATAAGCTAAAAGACAACTCATGAGCACAGCATAAGTTACTTTTATAAGCTTTTCCAAAGTCCCCTTATACGGTTGATCACTACCAATACAATTATATATACCAATGTAGTAGCAAAAACTATCCAAAGTTGATACATATATTGAAATGCTTACATAAATAAAAGGGCTTCTCTGGTTGTGCAATCACTTTGTTGAGGAGATCGATTAAACTTTGGATGGATTCAGATGGATGAAATGTAGCTTCCAATGTATGATTATCAGGGAACCGAACTCTAATTACAGCCTAAAAACAAATACAAAACCCAATGATAAAATTTGTTTGCCTCTTATTGATCCAATTTATTTTAATATTCTTGAAGATCTCAACATATTCAAGGAAAAAAACATATCTGCCGCTTTCTTATCGGATTTGTTTCAATGTTCGTGAAAATCAAACTACCTTTGTTATTTTTGACCTGCGAGCTGCCTCATCTGCTTCTCGGAGTTTTCGAGTCTTTAGATATTTATCTGAGTTGTCAATATTTCAAAATCGGGCATATATGTTAGGACGTGCTGATATGAAAAAGCGGATAAAAATTGGATAATTTCTTCATCAAACAAAATTATTAGAATCAATTTACCTTCTTTTTTAGTACCCAAGAGTTTGTAATAATCTGCAGCAGTGAACTCGTAGAACTCGTCAGTCTCCTCTTCTTCCGGAATACCAACAAGAAATATAAGCTTAATTAGGATACATAGGAAGATAATATACAAACATCAACACTTGAAATTCTAAATGCACAACTATGACTTGAGGTGTAGCCCAACACTTGTGACCAAAGGCGTGTCGATGTCCGATACTGACCCCAACACTGACATGTGTCCGCCACCAACACTGACATGTGTCGACGTGTCAGTGTCGGTATCGCGTGTGTGTGTCAGTGCTTCATATGAAGGCATAAAGACCGAAGAAGCAAACCTGCTAGAATTAGTTTATTACCTTTGTTTGCTGCATCATTTTGTGTGGGAGAAAGTGAAAATGTTTCAAAAACACGAATCTCTCGTCCAAATCTTTCACTCATCTCTGTAATTGTTGTCTGTTCCATAAAACATGATAGTGAGAAAAGAACAAAAAAGTACAAACAGCATATTGAGTTAGAAGCCATTGGAAAGTGGAATAGTGCTTTCACAAATGACCAAAGATAACAGTTATATCAAAAACAAGATGGCTTCACGGAAGACCAAAAAGATAACAATTGTTCAATTTTACAATTATCCTTGACTTCTTATATCATGAACAGATTTCATGTTCAAAGCATTACATGTACTAAATTTGAGTGCATAATGATTCATCAGCTAAGAGGGATGAACGAAAAATAATTGGACGTTTAAGGACGCCGTGCAAGAAATACAGTGAATAACCTGTGTGCACAATCTCTTTGCAGAAGAATTTGAAGATGTCTAGAAAAAGAGGGTTGTAATGAATTAATTTAACAAAGAAATTTGGCGGTGATACTTGAAAGAGAATTATTCATAACATTGTTCCTAATTCTATTTTTTCAATGAATAACCTATGGTATACACCTTAACCTCATTATTTCAACCACATTGACAAAAATCATAAGGAGGGATAAGCAGGTCGAGTTAGAAGAATTGTATGTGAGCAGAACGAGCTCCAAGCTATGTTGATGGTTAACTAAAATAAATAGTAATATTAAAGTTTAAGGGAAGTAAATTTCAAGTGAAATAGTGCTATGATGTGATGCTTCACAAATGACCGAACATGGCAGTTATCTCCTAAAAGACCAAAAAGATAACAATTATCCTTTACTTCTTTTATGACAAACAGATGTCACGTGACAATCGTGACATGTACTAAATACAAGTGCATAATGATTCATCAACTAAGGGCGACAGACGAAATAACCGGCGGGCGAGAAACACAGTGAATTCTATGGTATACTGGGCCGTCTTAAATTATCGGAGGCCCTGGGTAGATTAAACATCACTTATCTACGAAAAAACAAATAAAGGCCCTATTTTTCCATGATTGAACCGTAACAAATATTTTATGAGCCCTTTTTAGTCACGGTTTGACAGTGTCGAATTTTGGACCCTGTGCAGTAGCCCGCCTTGCACGTCCCCAAAAACAGCCTTGATTGGTATACATATCTCTTGCAAAAGAATTTCAAGATGTAAGAAAAAGAGGGTTGTACTTGCAGTGAATTAATTTATCAGAGAAATCCAGTAGTGAAACTTGAAAGTGAATTCTTCATAACCAACGTGTTCTGTTTGTTTGACTCCTTATTTCAACCACATTTAACAAAAAAAGTTGAGTTTTTTCTGTAACCTTAACATCATTGGTATGGTTTGGTTTTGTTTGACCCTTAACCTTAAGAACATTGACAAAAAGGGTTTAGTTGTACTGCTACAAGCTAATAACAACTCAAGAAAACAACTAATTTTGAATGCAATCAACTTCAATGAAACTTGTTTTGATATTCACAATACACCTCTTTAGTCTTTACAAAGACCCTATATACAAAACTATTTTCACGATTCTTGGAAACAAAACCCCCTGAAAATATCAACACAGCATATGCAAGGCTATATTTTCATCATTATCCAATCATTAGAATGTTGTTCTGAGTTCAAATCAAACACACGGCAACAGTGTCTTTATAATTATGTCGATTCAACTTCAACTTCAGAATAACAATATACATTCCATTGAAATCCACCATAACTCATAACCTGGTAACTCTATTCCCGAGATTAAAATTCAAAAAACTAATTTTCCAAAACTACCAGATTTTGGATTTTGTTGAGATTTAGGAGCAACCCTAGTAACATGAGATTAACCTAATTTAACTTGAAATCAACTCATCCATCTTTTCAACTACAACTTTTTGCACAAATCAATTACCCTAGCAATCCTTTAACACATATCATTATCAATTCACAAATAACATAATTAAAAAAATTAAAACTTTAACAAAATCACAAGCAAATATAAACCAAACCCATATGGTAAATAAGAAAACTAAAAAATACCAGATGATATAAATACAAAAATTTACCTAATTAACCTAAAAAAAACCTTTTTTTTTAAAGAATGAAAATACAAAATTGAAGAAGAAAAGAATGGATTTTTAGGTAATTGAAGAAGAATACCATGGAATAAAAGTGGTTGATTCTTCTTCTTTTGGATGGTTGAGGAAGAGAGGGATCCACAACCATGAGAGAATACCAGTGAGAAGAGTCTTGTTCTTTCGAATAGTCAGAAACTTTCGAGTTTTTGGGTATAATTTATCTGTTTTCTTCAAATATTACGATGAAATTGTGTTTTTAGTCTATTTATATTAATCCATTTTGATATGATAATTAATTGTTGTTGTTTTTTAAATTTTTTTATATCTATTTATTAATTCCATTTTGATTTGACAATTAATTGTTTGTTATTTTTCATTTTTTTATATCTATTTAGTAATTTCGTTGATTTAATAATTAATTATCATCTGGATAATATTTATAGTGATTACAGTTTTTTATAGATTCAACTTGAATGGTAGTTGCTCTGAGATTCTGCTTCCTAGGAGAGATATAAGACAAGGAAATCTTTTTTCCCCTTATCTTTTTGTCATCATCATAGAATACCTTCAAAGATGTTTTCATAAAATGCAATTAAATGCAGATTTCAACCACCATATCCAATGTGAGAAATTTATGCTTACTAATATTACTTTTGTTGATGATATGTTGCTCTTCTCTAGAGGAGATTGCAGAACTATTGAGCTTCTGATGCAGGCCTTTCAGAGATTCCTTGCGTCTACAGGAATGAAAATCAATTCTAATAAATGCAAGTTGTTCTGTGGTGTTATTGATGCAATCACAAAGGTCCAGATTCTGCAAAGTACCAATTTCACTGAAGGAGTTCTCCCCTTAAGATATTTAGGAGTCCCCTTGACAAGCAAGAAACTCTAAGTTAACCATTACATGCCCCTCATTGATAAAATTATTGGCAGAATCACCCACTGGAGCTCTCACTTACTGAGATATGCAGGGAGATTGCAATTAATTAAAAACATCTTTTTTGTTGTTGCTAACTACTGGCTGATGTGTTTCCCTTTCCCTAAATCAGTTATTGTTTTGGACATGCCCGACAGTCAGAGTGGGCCCAGTCTAGTCTCTCCCTCTGCTGTGGTCCGTCGGGCACCATCAATCGTTTGTCCTTCTGAACCGGCGCAAACCCACTATGATCAACGAACAACTCTCAGTCTGCCCGACACCAAGTCGCTCAGACAAGCAGGAACCGACCAGACTGTTGCCTGTAACCTACCTTCTCAGAACCAACGGTTAGTTAAGAGCACACCTGCTCGGTATGACCAAGTCCTGGCAGCTACCTATTTTCGCGGGTCTGCATATCTAAGCCTAAAAATAAGAACCAATGGCCACGCGCCAGGGGCATTATATATACCCTCACACATGTGAGGGTCGGGTATCAAATATTTACTATTCCTAATTAAAACCCTAATACTTTCCTTGTATCTCTTTGTTCCCACACTTACTTGATCGTCAAAGTGCCTCGCAGGTACAACCCCCTTTTTTTTCTCGACTTTCCAGCCCGACAGAAGATCGTCAACTGGCCACCTTGTAGGTTATGATCAACCGGTAAGATCAGTGGCGTTGTCTGGGAAACTATCTTCCCCATTTTCTATTCCTCGTAATTTGGAAACCAAAGATCCTCTATATTTAACAATCATGGATGACTGTGACGATTATCATCCATCTGGAAAGGCTCCATTTTCCCCGACGCAGAAGATTGACGGAGATCAGGAACATCCTCACCTCGAGGATAATTTTGACCTCCGCGACGGTCGAACTGTATCCCCAGATTTCTTCGATGCCCAGCGCGACGATCAACAATTCTTGGACGGACAGCGTCCCAAGATCCCCACTGAGGAACTGCCAGAGATCCTATAACCAGTTCCCATCCCTCACAATGTCGACCCAACCATCGCAGCATTGCTCGCTGCCATCAACCAAACCAACGCTCTTATCTTGCAACAGAACAGAAAGATGGGGCCTGAGAATAAAAGCGGTCGAAATCTCCTCCTCAAAGAACCTGATGATGACATTCCCCCAACATATCTCCACCAAGGCATGGCCTTCCACCAACGAAGGAGAAGCGCGACGTTTCTTTCTTCAAGAAACACGATCGCGCACCTCCCCTGAAAGATTAAGACTTTCTATCATCCAAGAGAAAGAAAGGCGACCGCCAAGCCGACCGTTGTCGATCACCATCGCCCAAGCTAAGGAGGCAATAGAGGAGTCCTTCCCCCCGTCGAGACCACGACACCTGACGCAGACATGATTATTACTCTCCTTATGCATCTCCTGTATAGAGCGACGACGACGAGCCCTGTGGACCATGTCAAGAGAAATTACAGAGGCACCACTCCTTGTCGGAATGGAGAAATCACCCTCATTGGGGACGTACGATGGGATGACAGATCCCGACGAACATATAGAGAACATCAATGCCCTCCTCAACTACTAAGGGGTCAGAGGACCCATCAAATGTAGATTATTCTCGACCACTCTCAGGAAAGAAGAAATGTCCTGGTACAAGAGTCTCCCAGATGAATCCATCACCTCCCGGAAGCAGCTTGGGAGGATGTTCTCGAGGCACTTCACGACCTCACATTGACACACGAAGTCAGAGGCTTTGCTCGAAGCGATCATCCAAGGCAGGGATAAATATCTTCAGTCATACATCGAGCGCTTCAACAAGGAAGCAGTGCATGTCTCTACGACCAACAACATGAAGAAATACCTCCTTGAGCGCAGGCTCCGTCCCTGCAGCGACTTCACTAAAGTGGTGGGCATCAAAACACTGATAACACTTGACTCCCTCCTCCTCAAGGCTCAAGCGTACATGCAGTACGAGGATAAGGAAACTGCCAATAGCGCCCAGAAATCAAGGCACAGAGAGAGTGCCAAACCCTCAAGAAATGATGAACCCTCGACTTTTCGTCGAGGAGAGAAGAAACGGGAAGACAGATCCTGGGACCCCAAGGACTACAAGGGACCCGTTGGGCGGTTCCACGACTACACCCCTTCGAATTCAAACTGGCCAGGGTACGCTTTCCCCGACAAACGCCCTCGAAACCAGAATCCAACAAAAGTAAATATTGCAGGTTCTACAAAAGCCACGGGCACAACACTGAGGATTGCATCTATCTCAAGGATACAATCAAAATATTGATTTGAGACTGGCACCTTAAACAATACAAGAAAAAAGAGGCCGCCCGTGAAAAGGCTCTAGAAGCCAAAAATATCGAAGAGGGGAAGGAGTCCCCTGACATTAACATTATATCGGTCGTCATGAGCATCTCGCAGCCAGAAGACTTCTACCTCCCGGACATGGAGAGTGCTCCTTTATATTTCTCCTCTCATAGCCTTTGGGAGTTGTTCCCCGCTACTATGATCATCTCCGGTGGGGGATTTTACATGCATAGGGTAGGGTTTGTGAAAAGAAGATTCAACCAACTCATCAAAGCCAATTCTGACATGGACTTCTTGCTAGACAAGTTCCGAGAAGGTTCTCACCCCCTCGCCTTCTACAAGGAAGAACTATTGGGTGGGCCCCCCAACTCGACCATCCCACTACTCATAAGAGCTCGCATGGAGAATTTTGATGTGCGACGTATTCTGGTCGACCTGGGAAGCTCGGTACACATTATTTACACCCAGTTGTTCGACACTTTGCAGCTGAATGAAAGCCATATGACCCTATACACTAGATCAGATCTTTAGGGCACCAATAGGACCAATACAAAACCCTGGGGATACATCGAGCTGATCGTCACCTTCGGGAGAGGAGTGACGGCCAGAGCCATCAAAACCCAATTTCTAGTTGTAGATTGCTTATCTCTTTCCTAGTGCATCTTCGAGAGACCAACTCTCACCGAGCTAATCGCAGTGCCCTCCACCATGCACCTCAAGATGAAGTACTACACCACTGAGGATTTGGTCGCCATCCTCCACGGGGACATCCAAGCGGCAAGGAGATGCAGCCAGAGGTCTTAGTTCCATCAATGTTCAACCTTGAACGACCACTTGGGCCACTTTGCCCTCCAGCTCCAAGGGAGCCAAGCCACTGCCAAGGGTCGACGTCATCGACCTCGATAGCCGCTTCTCCAAAGGAGATTACGCTGAATAGAGAAATAAGGGCAAAGAACCCATGGTATAAGGCGAGGATTCAAACCCATCTGCAGGTAGTAAGGAACTCTCACGACCCATCCCGAACAGAGATTTCAAACTCATCCCCCTCGGGAACGACCCCACCAGAGGAGTTAAGATCGGAGTTGATCTCCCCGACTTGGCAAAGAGGCAACTTAAAGCTTGTCTAAGGGAGAATCTCGACCTATTCGCTGTGAGTGCAGCCAAGATGCCCAGAATAGATCCATAAATCGCATGCCATCACCTGACCATATATCCTGCCCTCAAGGCGGTCGCTCAACATAGGAGAAAACAATCTCCTGAAAAAACAGAAACTGCCGAACTAGCTGTAAAAGACCTCCTAGAGACACATTTTATTTCTGAAGCCCAGTACATAACCTGGTTCTCAAATGTAGTTCTTGTGAAAAAATCTAATGGAAAATGGCGCATGTGCATTGATTATACTGATCTCAATCGGACTTGCCCGAAAGATGCTTATCCCTTCCCCAATATTGACAAACTAGTCGACGACTCGGTCGGTTTTAAATTTTTATCGTTTATAGACGCATATTCTGGTTATAATTAGATCCCAATGGCAAAAACAGACAAAAAATATATCGCTTTCATAACCGATTTGGACAACTATTACTACAACGTAATGTCCTTCGGCCTAAAAAACGTGGGTGTTACATATTAGCGCATGATGAACAAAGTCTTCCACAACGAGATAGGTGACATGCTCGAAGTATACATGGATGACATGATCATAAAGTCCACGGAAGAGGTCGACCATGCCCTCCACTTAAAGAAAGTGTTCGAGTAGGCTCGAAAATGCCGAATACGGTTTAACCCGGAAAAACATACCTTTGGGGTACGGGCGGGCAAGTTCCTCGAGTTCTACCTAACGGAATGAGGCATTGAGGAGAACCCCGACAAATGTCGAACATTCTCTGAATTTACAATTCCCACTTTGAAAAATTCCATTCAAATCCTGAATGGCATGGTCACCTCTCTCT